CGCATCAGCCACAAAGCACACAACACAAACTGGGCTGATGGTGTGTCTATTGAGTAAGTCAGCTGGCAGTCTTCTCGGTTCACGTATTATAGCACGCACACCAAAAACGAACTGCTCTTGGTCCGCAAGTTCGAGATCTTTTCTTGAGTTTATATCAGAGCTAGCTCCCAGTTAAACCGTAACACTATTATGTGTTGTTTACTATGTCACGCAGTAGATGCGTTTGAGCAAAGTGGGAACCAGCTCAGGGCACGGTGGATCAGTGCTGATGATGCGCGCTCATGCAAGAAAAACTGCCACACATGCACGCATAGGCGCAGGTTCGCGCCGCACCTGTCACCCACGCCCCATCCCGCCCCCCTCTTCCGCCCTGACCTCAGTAAACTTGTCTTGTAACCAGACCTAGGTTGGTGAGGGGGGAGGCGAGGATAGATGCTGCGCACGTCCATTCTCATTATAAACTACTTCAAGCGCAAGCAGACTTCTTTGCGCGCACCCTATTATGCGGCGCACGGTGGACCTCGCCATAAGCTGTCATTACACCGCCGAACGTTGTGCCTAAGCTGCTCGTTGAGACCGCATAACGCATTTGTATTGGCGTGAAACGTCAGCCACGAGGTCACCTCTATAAGGTTAAAAGTGAACTCACAAAACTAGTCTGCAGGCACTCCTTCTTCCTCAGACAAGGGATAGTCTGGCTATGGAATTCGCTACCTAGGGAAATAGTGACAGCCGACATCATTTTTCTGTTTAAATAAAGGCTTGATTGAAAAACTGCATGCTTGTTACCAGCCAGGCTCATTTCGTGCTGACTCAGAGTGACTAAACACCATCAGTGGTTATTTTGTTTTAATGTGAAACGACCAAATTCTAAGTATTTACAATTTTAAACTGACCGTAAATATACGGAATTACTGTGCGTAAATGGGGTCATCCAGGGCTCTACCTGCAAACTTTCGAAAGCATCTAGGAATAGATTTAATTTAAAACACACGGTGCAGCGGGAGGTTTATATTTTATCATAAAATCTATCCAGCCCGCCCAATCTTATCTGATTCAACACTTGAATTTTCATGCCAAAGCGTAATACCGTCCCACGTTTGTCAGCATGTCAGTTCATCAACTGAAGTCTGATGCCCCCTGTACTCTTCCCACTACTGGCCAACACTTATTTATATTATCACCCTTTTCCAATAGTACTTTAAAAGTTTTTGAGTGTTTTTTTTCTGAGGCATTCAACGCCAATATGTGTAGTGATACAACTGCGCTTGCATCGCTCAACCTTCCCCGTCTTGCGACTGTTAGTACGTATGGTCAAGTGTCTGCCTACCCCAGTCCAGTCTGGCCAATCACCTTCAAGACTGACTCACATAAGACCTCACTGTGACGACTGCCGCGCTCTCAAACTTCGGACGCCAACCCTCCTATGGGTGGTCCTGCACTCGCTCGACTGTCAACTTCCGCCAACCTATCCTTCACTAGTTCTGCAAAAAATATACTACTCCTTCCACCTGGTTCTCTTAGGAACCGAGCCTGAAAATCACTGCAACAAGGGCCTTCCTCTGCGATATGCCCGTGGGTATCTGAATTTGAAAACACCATATGTCTACTCCCGGGCAGACGAAGAAAAGCTGGAAAAGTTAATATTTTTCATGTGGCCACCAACTTTAATTGTCATTTTAGTCGCATAGTATGCCGGCGCAAAGTGCAGTTC